CCAAAGAATAAAGAAAAACTACTGAATGACTTTAAAATGCAAACAAATAAAAAAATAATTATTGTGGCCAGCAGTACCTTGAGTATGGGAGTGAATTTTCCAGACATTTGATATGTCATTAATTGGGGCCCGGCAAGAAACCTCTGGTAGAGCCAGTCGCAATGAAGAGTTGTCCCATGCCATTACTATTTACGATGGCCTTCAACTATCCCACTGTGAAGACAAAGTGAAGGAATTTGTGAGAACCACAGGATGCTACCATGCTGCTATTTACAAGCCCTTTGATCCATTGATATACCAATTAACCCAGGACACAATTGGTGTTTACATTGTGCATTGGAGTGTGGCTGGGATGATTGTAGAGATGGGACTTCAAAGAAAAATCCATTTGAGGATAAACTGGATGTGCGTGAATGTAATCCACCTTTGTCAAGGCCTGTCAGTGATGAAGATAAAGACGTTCTGCAAGCAGCTTTGACAGAACTGCCACTGGGACAAGGAAATAATTTAAGTGCATTTGGTTCTGTAAGTACACATTGTTCTCACCTGAGCTTATTGATGATATTGTCAGTAACTGTCATAAATTGTTCACTATATAAGATATTGCTGAAAGCGATTTCCCATATATTCCATTGGACATAGCCTCAAAATTCTTGAAGTCATACAAGAAATATTTGAAGATATCCCTAATCTGGACTGGCTTTGGGCTTTTTTTCCGAGTTAGCACATTGTGACTATGAATGTGAAAAAACCGAGGAAAAGGACAACGAGGATGGTTACTTTATAGATTACTTTGATTTATCTGATCATTAATGTGATATGTCATGAGCAAGTTTGAGAACAAACTATGTAGTTTTTTTGTAAACCATAGTGTTTATGTACCTCATATTGTAAAGATTAAACATTAATTATTCAATATGATTCTTTACTATAAAAAAACAGATTATGTACAATAGAAGCCAGAAATTCCCAAACAAGTATTTTGTTAGGGCTTGTTTTGATTAAAAGTATTATTTTTTGTCTTGTTTGTATATATAGATTCCCACTAAAAAAAATTCCCACTGTACAACTATAGAACTCTATAGTTGTAATGTTATATTGTTGCATAGGTTATTAATAAAATTGTCGTTTTCTGAAGTTGTTTCGGTCTGGTCTATCGGTGTCGTTTCATTGACAATACTATAAACGCCATTTGGGTCAAGATTTGGGTTTTCTGAGCAGTCTGAGAATAGAGTCTTGCAGCATGTGCTGTCACAAGTATCTGCTTTTTTACATTGTTTTCATTATCTTCTTGATGAAATTTCTTTGCTGAATTTCTATCGTGAGTTACAGTGCTCAGTAGCTGTCTTTTGACTCTTTCAGCTTCACTTTCAGCGTTGTCAACACGTGCAGCGGTGGTGTTGTCTCCTTGCGCTTGTGTAGAAGAAACTGCCTCCTTTACAAAGTTATATGACTCAGCAGCGTTTCTGATTATTCTTCCACGTGGTCTGCACACTCTTTTGGACAAACTTTCACTGCATGCTAGCTTAAATCCAACAGACTCGCATGCAAGAATCAAATTTAGACTTTCTTGCCTATGCGATGGCTTAAACAAATTTTCAAATGTGGTATTATTTCAACCAACAGCTGGGTAATTAGAGCAGATCGTGGGCGGAAATGCAAATATATAGGCCATCAGAGCAGGCGTTCCCTCCCTCCCTCCCCCCTTTTGTTCACCATTCCTCGCGCTCTCCTCCCCCTTCCTCTCCCTTCCCCTATTTAAAAACGCCTGCTACTCAACTAGTAGCTCAAGGCTATTCGCAAGTTGAAGGAATCAACTACTCTTAGGTTTTTTCTCCTGTCATGCGTAATACAACATTTTGAGCATTACTTGCTTTGCAAAAAGCCAAGGATTTAGAAATCCATCAAATGGACATCAAAACGGCATTCCTACAAGGAAATTTGGCGGAGGAATTATATAGGCAACAACTAGACAGTTACGTGGATAAGAGATTTCCAAATTAACTATGCAAATTGTGCTTGTAAGCCCAAGAAGAGTATATATGGTTTAACCATCTGCACACTGCTGGAACAATGCAATTGATACATTCGTGAAGTCATGTAAATACGAGCAAATGCTAAGCGAAGAAAAGAAGCTTATCAGTTTGAAGTTCAAACAGACTGGTATTCGAAAGCAAAGATTCAAAATGTTCATTGATTGGTTTCTCAGATGCAGATTTGGCAAACGACCCAGATACAACAAGATCGTTATCTGAATATGTGTTTAAGATCAAAACAGTTGGTGTCAGCTGATCTTGTTGTTCTTTCATGGTTTTGAGTTTGTGGCATAACGTTTTTATTAATGGTTACCATCCCATATATGCACTTAAAGAAGGCACGATAAAAAAAACTCATGACAATAGCAGAGTGGTAGGAGATCCAACATATCTAGTCTCTAAATGCAACATGTCTGGTATATCTAGTTTACTCATGCATCATTGAATTCATTGCAAAAGTTTGATGTTCTCCACAGATTGTGGAGCCCAGATTTGAGAAGTGTAGCATAGTTTCTAGCATACAAAGGCCAATATACATGTATATGTATATGTATGTAGATATAGATATAGATATTTGCGTTCACAGTGTGTGTCTATTTGGTTAATAACGTCCTAAAGCCCCTTACGAAAAAATCCTATAGGAATTCCTATAGGAAATTCCTACAGGATATTCTATAGGATTTTCTGACGTTTCAAATAGGAATTGTAACACAAATTTTGATAGGATTTCCTAAAGGAATTCTTATAGAATCCTAAAGGAATTCCTGTAGAATCCAAAAGGAATTCCTATAGAATCTAAAGGGAATTCCTATAGGATCCTAAAGGAATTCTGATAGAATCCTCAAGGAATTCCTATTAAATGCTAAAGGAATTTCTACGGAATCCTAAACGAATTCCTATTAAATGCTAAAGGAATTTCTACGGAATCCAAAACAAATTCCTATTAAATGCTAAAGGAATTTCTATGGAATCCTAAACGAATTCCTATTAAATGCTAAAGGAATTTCTACGGAGTCCTAAACGAATTCCTATTGAATGCTAAAGGAATTTCTACGGAATCGTAAAGAAATTCCTATAGAACCCAAAACGAATTCCTATTGAATTCTAAAGTATATCCTACAGGAATTCCTGTGGAATCCTATGTAAATTCTTATAGAATCCTAAAGAAATATTTTGCAAATGTCCGGAATTTACCAATGGCACAAATATAATAATAATGAGGATACCTTCTTCTAATGTTAACAATAATTTATGTTGGGCCTGTCCATGCAGTCTTGTCCTTTTTTCTACAATACTGACATGGATGTACATTACATATATAAGCCTAATAAGGCCTCGTTTACACTATACTGGAATGTTATAGGAGTGGGTTACATCTAGATATTGATGGACTGTCAGGATTTTTAATGTCAAAGACTGAAAAAATTATGGCAAATCTGTCAAGCTTTCATATGCATTTGCTACTATAATCATTAATTGCTTCTTTAATGGTAAACGAAAATCTTGTGATGCAAGGCGAATCCGGTATAGTGTAAATAGGGGCTAATTTTAATCAACAGATAATTTAAAATAAAGCAATAGGATTTAAATAAATACTGGTACATATAATATATTACCTATATATGGGTCATATAAATAAACGTTTAATATATTATACTTAATCATTTTTTGTTCAACAATTTTTTGTTGTTTGCAGCACATAATATTGTTTATCTTCGTTGTCATCAGGTTCCTCACTTCTTTTTGAGTAACCCCAAATTTCTGTTCCACATAACTTAATAAATTAAAACAAATAACACATTCCAATTAATTTCAACTTGTGCAACTGTTTCATAGTAGTTGGGAAAATGGCCAGAAATTGATTAAAGAATGAATTGATTCTTTAAAGTTGGCAAATCACATCACATCACAAAAATAGTTTAACATATAATAAAATTTTGTTCATAAAATATAGTAAAAATGAACAATGATTAAAATACTTATGTACTAACTGCAAAGACTATCCACTTTCTCAGCATCAAGTTGGGGCTTTGCCTCTCTTTCTTTATGTGCATTGGACTTCCGGCCAGTTACAGAATGTGTGCACAGCACCTCCCTTGACCAAATTATTGGAAGTGCTGAATAAACAAAATCTTTGGCAGAGAGTTTACTTGATAAGACTCTCTTTTGCCCTTTGCTTATTTCTACACCCGGACAAAGCAGGATCTAAATGAAAGCAATAAATGATAAATATAATTTCACTAACAGTGGTGCCATTACAAATGCTATTACCTCCAACCATATTTTCTGGTGTAAAAATTGGTCTATTGTTGTCACATAATTATATTTGAAGAAATACCAGAAACATTCTACTGCTAAATTGACTGAACACTCAGTAAATTATTATGCGTATAAATGTGGACCTGACTTACACTGTCAGATTCACTGTCGGAACTGGAAGCTTTGTTAGCAATGGTAACAGTTGGTGAAGATGGACGTTTTGAAACATCTTTAATTGTGTCAGGGGCACCAATCCCCTGCTGTTTGCATTTGAATCCAACTGAAGCTAACTGATCCAATATTCCCACTGAATGCTTTAGTTGGGTAACAAAATCTTGTAAATTTTGCATATCTATAATATAAATCAATCTTAATTAAGTAGAGAAAATTGAAGCTAAAGTTTTAAACATATAAAAAGAACCATCATTATAGTTAGGCCACTTATTAAGTTTTTAAAGCTTGTTATAAAGACTTCAACTGAAACATTTTGGTATAATATATTTAATATTATCATATAGATATAGAGATTTCTTCACAAAATTAACAGTGAATAAAAATCGTATTGTTAAAATTTCGGCCAATAGGAAACGCGAACAATTTTTCTTCACCGTGAAAAAACTTCGTTCGTCCCATAGAATTCGCGAACGATAAAATTTCACTGGTGAAGAAAAACTCACTTATTTTCTGTCAACAAGCCAAAAAATTATGGCCGAAAAGCGATTTGTTTCACAGTCGTGCTCTGCTGAAAAGTTCATTTTAGACCAAGAAAATAAGAGTACTTGGCAAAAAACTCGAAGAGATGTTCATTTACTTGAAAGCTTCCTCGGAACGAAAAGCGAAAAATTGAACAAATCCCAGCAACGGTACTAAACAAGTACCTTTCTGAGTTTATTATGTCAGTTCGCAAGAAAGACGGCAAGGAGTACGAGCCAACGTCACTTCAAAGTTTAGTAGCGAGCTTTGAACGGCACTTAAAAAGTAAAAGCTATCCTTCAAGCATCATAAACGATTTGGTATTCGGACAAACGATGAAAGTCCTCAGGTCTAAGCAAAAAATGCTAAAGAAACAGGGAAAAGGAAACAAGCCGAACGCATCGGTAGCGTTCACAAATGAGGAAATACAAATAATATACGAGAGGAAACTACTCGGTATTGAAAGCCCTGAGGCATTGTTAAACACACTCTGGTTAAACAACTGTCTTCATTTTGGTCTCAGAGGTTGCAAGAACATCGTGACATGTGCTGGGGAGATGTGAAGCTTCACAAAACAGCCCAAGAACAAGAATATCTCGAGTTTAATGAAAGGCAAACGAAAACTAGGACTGGTTCAGACTACTGTGATGTTCGAACAGTTCCGCCGAAAATGTTTGCGACCGATGGAAGCAAAAAAGATCCTGTTGCAGTTTATAAATTTTTCTTAAAGAAAAGACCTCGAGAAATTAATTACGATGATGCCCCCTTTTACTTGTCAGTTAACAATTTTAAAGCTACAGATTCCGCCGAAACTAAAGCGTGGTTTAAACCAGTTGCCGTAGGCGTGAACAAACTTAATAGTTTGGTAAAGAGGATGGCTGCAAATGCAGGAATTGAGAACAGCCGACTACGGAATCACAGCGGCTGAAAAACAATGGTCCGAAGACTCAGTGAGAGTGATGTTCCACCCACACAAATTGCCCAGCTTTCTGGCCATAAGAATTTGAAAAGTATTGAAAACTACAGCACTGTGTCGACAAATCAACAAATGCATATGTCCAAGTTATTGAGCGGTTTGGCGGCAAACTCATCATCCTCGCTGACTGAAACCGCGGCTTGCTCATCTTCCTCATCTGCTCAAAAGCAAAGTATGGATCTATTTAGTGGAGCTGTCATTCAAGGCGGCAATTTTTCCATAAACTTAAATACTCTCAACCAGTCACCGACGTTTTCAGTATATTCAGCGAAGAAACAAACTTGGAAGCAACTAAAACCTTTGGACAGCAACTCTGACAATGAGTAGTAGATTAACTTTATTTAACTAGCTGTTACTGGACCAAATTCAAAGTCTTTTATATGTTGATAGTATTGTTGAGAATAATTGAGTTTGGCTTTGTCATTTATAGAATATTTTGTGATTTTGAATTTCACTTTGAATGATTCATTTTGTGTTGTTGATTTCATCGAGACATGCATGCACTAGATTGGCTTCCAAGTCAAAATTTTTATTTTGCGATTTTTTTCAAGTAAGAAATCTCTATATTTATAAAATAAACAAATTCTCGTTGTGGAATATGCTAAAACTCACTCTCTCGTACCTTGCTCGTTCGTTTTAGGATATTCCACAACTCGTGAATAAAAATCGTATGCACGCATTAACCATGAAGTAATCTCTATTTATCTTTATAAAATTTCAGTAAATAATAATCATGTTTCAACACATTCTGACTTAGATAATCAAATTAATATTAATTTTGAAAAACTGACATATGATATCATTGTACCCTTCATATCAGCAATTTGTCTTTTCAATGACTCGATTTCTCTGTCTTTCGCATCAATTTCTCTTCTCATGTTATCTACCTCTGACCCAAATTCATCATCAGAAGATTGTGAAGAATTGCCCTTTATGAAATTAATAAATATAATTATTCCATCAGCAATTCAAACCTATACCCAGAATCAACTAAACTGGTGCATTCAGGCTTACAGGTATTTAACCTAAGCTCTTAAATTAGTCCTCTTAAGTAGTTGTCATAAAAACCAAGGTGGAAATTAAATTGTAATCTTTTTAAAAGGAATGGGAATATTTTATTTATTTATATAATGGTGCTAACCCATAAAGTAGCAAAACTCTCCACTTGATCAGTAAATGATCTGGTGTTAATTATTGTGAAATGCTTATAAATATATACATATACAACATATAGCATGTATCGGTACCTCAAAAAAAACATTAGGCTGCTTTCCCCTCACTTTTTCCTTCAACATGGCAATATGTTCATCTGACAAAATTGAATTTGTCACCTTCTTTTTGGCAGTCTTTTGCTTCTTTGCAGGCTATATTACAACATGAAAATATATGTATATGAATGTAGCCTTCAACATTTTTGCTTCACAATCACTACATCAGGAATCATGTAAAGCTTCACAATCACTACATCAGGAATCATGTAAAGATGGCCTTTTCCCAAAATACCACTGATCAAATTGCTCTTCATTTTTCAGATTCACTTCTATTGTCCAATGTGTTTGTTTTACCTTGGTGAAAGCAGAGTGGAAAGAAATTGTGAATCTTGTGGGGAACTATTTAATGTTGATGAGTGTACCAAGAACGGCAACTATTTCTTATATCTACCCATGAAACGTCAGATTGAAGACTTGCTTGGTGAGGAAAAATTAAGACAACATTAAATGAACCGTCTCACTAGGAACAAAAATTCCACGGGTGTCATCTCTGACATAACATCTGCAGAACTATATGGCAAGTTAGCAGAGAATCATAACTTTTCTGGCAGTCATGATTTATCACTAACCTGGAACACAGACGGAATTTTTGTCTTTTGAATCGTCTAATTATGCAATTTGGTCTTCGACCAAGTTCGGGGTAAAGTATACTTAATTATTTCCCAAAAGTTCTTCCAGGGGTCTGTGTGTCTGGTAAGCGCCAGTTACGCCATAGATAACTGGTAAATTAAAAATATACTGTACATGTTTTTCTTCTTTTGGTAATGTGATTTTGATTGCGTTCTTTTGTTGCCCAATAGTCTTGCCCAATTTAGGGACCCCTTGCCAAGTAGGGTATTCGCGGGTGCCTCGATAAAGCATGCATTGAGCATTATGTTTTGTGGACTGGCACAGAACAAACTTTGTTAACTCTTTAAAAATATTGTATTGCAGGGGTTGCTGTTGACTTCATGCATTGTGTCTGTTTGGGTGTCACCCGTCAGTTTGTAAACATGTGGATGGATAGTCAACAGCATGAGAAAAGTTTCTGCATTGGTAGAAGTGAAGAAGAGATCAATGCCTGACTATATTCTATTGAGGTTCCTGGGGAAATGAGCCGTGCACCGAGGTCGATTAGTGATAGAAATCACTGGAAAGCATCAGAGTGGAGAGGCTTCATTTTCTACAGTCTCGTTATTCTCCGTGGCATATTTCCTTCAACACATCTAAAGCATTTCTTCTTGTTTGTTTATGGCGTGTACTCGCTCCTTGGTGATTCCATCACGGAAAATGATATCAATTCTGCAGAAGGTTGTTTAACAAAGTTTGTTATTGAAGTTGAGAAATTGTATGGCTTGAAATATTGTACATTCAATGTGCATCAGTTGATCCATCTTGCTCAGTCAGTTCGAGATTGTGGCCCTCTTTGGTCTTCTGCAGCGTTTATTTTTGAGTTGAATAATCACACATTGCAAAATCACACATTACCGTTTCACGGTACGCAACATATTCCGAGACAAATTGTAGAGACATACATACGTGATTACCAAAAGGATTCCTGTACTTGCTAAGCAATACATCAACGATGAAAGTTGCCCCGCTGTTTACCAACTGTGTCAGAAGTTGAGAGATGTTAAGTCTTTTGACAACAATGTGTCCCTAGCAGAAGGTGTTCGAGGTGTTGGCAAAGGAAGAGCTATCCAGCTCTCTGCATCACAAGTGCTCGCTGTGCAAAATTTGATTGGTGTTGAAGTGAAAAAGCGCTGTGGCTTGATCTATTCCAGATTTGTTGCAGATAAGAAATTGTACTCAAGTATACAGTATGTTCGAGCAAAGAGACATGTGAACAGAAATGTAGCATTTGAACATGGCCAGTATAGATACGGTATTATTGTAGGTCTTCTAATAATTAAACCAGAGTGTTTATGCACTATGGAAGAGTTGCAATACTGCAAATGCAGTACTTATAATGTTGTGTTGGTTCAACCAAAGATTGACCATGGTAGAGCGCTGTACAGAGACCCCGATTTTAATGTGGAAAGCTTTTTCCTGAGAGAAGTAGAGCCTGCTGCTGTACAAATAGCAATTTATCCCAATCAAATTAGAAAGAAGTGTATTTTGATGAAATTGGAAGGGAATTGTCCTTTTTTCCACTTCCTTATAACATCAATGACAATTGATATAGATAGGATGTAAATATATGTAAATAGAGATATTGTAGTGTACGTAATGTAATTTTTAGCGACACGTTTTCCATATTATGTATGTTATATATTGTACAACACTTTTGAAGAATGGTAGATAATTAAAATTTCCAAACCTGGGTTTTTTCTTTGTTGTTTACCACTATTCTACTTATTTTACCTTTGATAAGTAAGTATTACAACATCGTCAAGCAGTATATATAGGCAGATAAAATTGTCAAGAGGATGGACGGGACATGTTTTGAAACCTGATGGGTTGATTTTAATCCACTTAATAAATTTCCTGCATCACATTTTTAACAGACATTAGCTGTATTAGTAACTTGTTTTATAATATCTCTGAAGTAATAACAAAATCGGAGATTTATAAATAAGAAAAATGGGTGCCCACTATTTACCCTGAAAAACCGGAAATTCCAATCCAAAAAACATGCTGTGAGACTACTATTATGAGTAATTTCGAACAGAAATTTCAGGAAAACTAGGGTGGATTAAAATCGAATTACTATGAAATATGCACAAGTTAGGAATTATAACAGGAATATTAGTGTCCATAGGAATTTTAATAGGAAAATGAATATCCTATAGGAGTTCTAAGGCATGGTGGAAAACACGGATAACGGATAGTGGATAGCGGGTACCGGATACTTAAATGAATAGAGAATAGAGTACATACATTATATATACCTTTGGCGGCAAATTGCAGAGCATGGCCAATTTCAACAAGATCTTGGGTGCGCAATAGGGTTGCACCTGAAGTGCAGGTGCAACAATACTCCCGAAATTTCTCAGGTGCACCAGCCGGCCCAGCCCAAGTGCACATGTTTACGCGAGCGGCCAGTGCTAGCGGTGCTAGTGTGCATATGTTTGCCACCATTGATTGCCACTAGGTCGTGCTTTTTCTCTGTTCTGTTGGGATTGTTTGGCTATCACTTTGAAAATTGAAATGGCGGAGTTTGGCGGCCATCTTGGATTTACGGTCATTTCAATTTTCAATTATTTGTCGATGTTTTGCAATAGATGTGCACTGATTTTAGTTTACAAAGAAGTTCTATGCTCTAAAATATCTTTCTAATTATAATCACAGGTTTGCCACTGAGGTTCATTAACACTGTCTTGAATTTACGTTTTAG